GATCCCTGGGAGCCGCGGGGACAGTGCGGAGCCGCAGCAGGGGCCGGGCGGCGGAACGGCTCCGCGCCGGAGCAGCGCGACCCCGCAAGGCCTCGGTGCCGGCGCAGGTTCTGCGGCTCCCTCGGGCGGGCGGGGAGCTCGAGATCTCCATGCCCCGAAGCCGCCCGGCCGGGCTCTCCGCCGGCGGAGGGTATGCGAAGCCCGAGCCTGTCTGCCGCGCTGCCCTCAAAAATCTATTTAGGGAAGATGAAGGCGCATGCAAATGCGTGGCGCCTCCTCGCCTGTGCCTTTAATCATGGTAAATTGGCTCCCGTTCCTCCAGGCCCCCCGAAAAGGCGCACGGCGGCACCGCATCGTGGCGGGGCTGGGACTCCCAGCGCCGCGCGGCACCCGCTGCTCCCCGGGGCTTTCCGGCTCCTCGGCGCGGCCCCGGCGCCCTGCCTGATCCGCCTCTCAGCAATTTTCCTACCCAAATGCTGCCGTGACGGGAACAGAGCGCAGAGATAGCATCGGGCGGCCTGTATCAAAGAGATCCTGCTAAATTAAAATACCGGCTCGGTGCTCGCCGCTTTTCACGCGGCGTGGCCTCCGACCGCGTTCTGCCGGATACCGCCGGCTCCACCTCCCCCGTCAGCCGCTCTGGCCGGCCCCGGTGACCTGCTCCGTGAGGCCGCCGGGCGAACGGGGTCCCTTCCCGGGGCTAGGGCTCAGCCGGTCGGTGGACGGGCCGGTCCCAGTAGGGCGGCTGCGGTGCAAGGGGAGGCTCCGCGTGGTTCACGAAGCATTTGTTTGCGCTACTGAGCAACAGCCCGATAATTTATTGTTATTGTTATTGGTAACTACACTTCGCAGCTCGTTCGCATCCATCCTTCCGAGGCGGGGAGAGTGGGTTGGATCAGTTGCCTCCATGCGTGGCCGGCGGCGGCTCCTCCTGGGCCGGAGCCGCTCCGCCGGGGCTACCGAGCCAGCGGGGCCAGGTAGTGGGACTGCCCCGCACGACGGCGGCCGGGGGCAAGGGCCTGGCCACAGGGAGGCACCGGGCGGCGGGTGCCGCCGGAGGCTCCGTCGGAGCTGCGGGCTGCAGAGCCGGTCTGGGGAGCGCCCGGTTCTGGGGCGTATGGGGAGCTCCGCGGGCAACCGGCAGCGAGTCCGCCAGAGGGGCGCCCGCCGGTCCCTGCGGCGGTGCCGAACCTCGGCAGCTGTCTGCCGTGCCAGCGGCCCCGTGCCCCGGCGCTCCCCGAGCGCTCCTGTCGTGAGCGTTTTTCCGCGCACCGATGCTTCGGCGTTCGGCTGGCGAGCGGGGAAGGTCGGGGCTCCGCAGGGCAGCGAGGTGCAGAGTCCAGCTGTGGGTGGAGAAAAACAGGACAAAGTGAGCCGGTGGTCTCCGGCTGCCCCGGGGCTCCCCCCTCGCCCCGCCGCCGAGGTGCTGCAGAGTCGGGGCCGGTTCGCCCCGCCCAGGGTCGGGAAGCGCCGCCGTGTCCGCGCTGGGCAGCACCCGGGCCGGTCGGCCCCTCTCCCCCTTGCCCGGCTCCCCACCGGACCCGCCGCTCGCCCCGGCTGACCCCGCGCCCGCCGAGCCCCGGCCGTGCCGCCGCGCGCCGGCAGGGGGCAGGCTGCGCCCGAGCCCCGCGCACCGGGACCGGCCCCGCAGCGGGGTCACCGGGCCGGGCAGCGCCCGCACCCCCTCACCGGGCCAGGGGGAGC